GCCCTCCCCTTTCTTTTCCCGTTCCTCTCTCCTCAGTGCTGATTCAATTCAGTTATTATGTATGTTGGTTTTGAGGGCTTGAAGCTGCCAGCATGATCTGGTGTTAGAACAAGTTTATCTGTTACTAAGATGGTGATTATCACACCAGTTCATCAAGTTTTTGCACCACCCCTTTTGGGAACTTTGCAGCAGATCATCGAAAAGAGTTTTTTTTTTTTTCTTTTTTTTTTTCAAATGAAACCTCTTCTTTTTTTTCTTTTCTTTTTTTTTCCCCTTAAGGATGATGATTTGTGTTAGTTTGTTCTTCTGGTTGAAGTTTGAAAGGGATTTCTGGGATCCCACTTATGAAAAAAAGAGATTTGATTTTAGGCCTATTAGATTGTGGTTCCAATCAGGTCATCTAGCAGCTTCAATCACTCACCAACAATACAAGAATTTTTGTTATTATACATTCTGAGTTATATCTGCAGGTGTTCTTCCAACTAAAACAGGTACTATATATCTCTCTTCAAGCCCTCTTCTTCTAAGTCACATATGGATGGTTCTCTTTAGTTATGATGGATTCAGTTAATGCATATTTCAATTAGCTAGTTTAGAACTTTAGAACTTTTATTTATTTTTTTGTAATTTCTAAGTTGTTACTCAATTAGTGAAATTCTCTATTATTATCATCATCAGACACATTGAAATTTGTTTCCAATCTGTAGAGATAAATGTGAATCTGATTCCACACATTCAGAAATAAATTTTGTATTAATTATATGGTTAGAAGCAATTTAGGACCACACTTGGTATAGTGGTCACAAAACACAATAATTGTCAGGAACAGCATCATGCGATCTTAAACAATGCGTCCATTTTTCTTGTCTGAACATAAATACATACATATGAGTTTCCTTTTAAAGTGTCACTCTACAAACTTGTGCATGTGAGTGTAGGTATATTTTATCCCCAGTAGGCTGGTGATTTGTCTGTTTGGGCATGGTTTCTTGTCTTTAGTATAATACAGAAAATGCAGATGATCTATGATGAGGAATCAGTCATAACGAGACAAATTCCAAAATCCCAAGGCACGAGAAAAGACTTGATTTTAATTGGTTTGCACCTATTAGTTAAATGATTGGTTCCTTTTTATCCCGGAAAGCCTGTTGATACTGTTTTAATTCGGTAAAAACGATTCTTATTTTGAAACGGAGAAAAATATGGACTAAATTAGTTATAACGCTTCCTACAGTCTATACATTGCTCCGATCGTGTCAATTTTTACAACTTCAAGTTACCTGCTCCTCTTCCTCTTTTCTCTCAATTAGAAAATCAAGTTTTATGTCATTCTGCCTTCTGAAAAAGGTCGTATTGAATTGTTGTTATTACAAGGAAGTTTCATATAAGATCTTTACATTGTGAAAGGAAGTCCCCTTCATTATACAATTTTAGTTTGACATATATAAGTGTACATTTTTTCTTGTGATATAAAGAGTTTGTTTAGATGCAAGTTTTCCATAATGTAAATACGGTAAGAGTACATGGCAATGTGTATGATATTCCTACCGCTCCATAAAAGTAATTCATATTGTACATAATATAGTATTATGTTTTTAATATAATTTAATATATAATGTGAACTATGTTATAAGACAGAGACCATATGTGTAATAATGTGCATAAATAGACAATTTTTAATTTTTTTTTGTCCCTTTTCCAAAGCAGATTTAATTTGGACCTTTCCATTTGCGTGCGAGTGGAAGGAATTAGCTAAGTCAAACCATCTGTTTGGGGTGTTTTTTACTACGTTTTTTTAGAATTTTAAATATTAATAAATGTCCATCTTAATATACTTTTTTACATTTTTAATACACTTTTTAACATTTCTGATTAAAAAAAAATTTAATTAAAAACACACACTAAAAAAATGATCCAAACATACACGAAGTCTGTTGTTATACATAGTCCCAAGTGTTATTAGTTTTGATGAAAATTGGTTTTTGTTCTCTTTTGAAATAGTTTTTCTTTTTTAAAAAAAATATAATTTGGAGAAAATATATCCGTGACTAAAATACGATGTTTTCAATGTCTCCCACCAATATTACGTTGTAATCCAAAACGTTGGGTAATTTTGTCTTCAAAGCACTAGTTTATTCTCAGAGCAATACAGTGAGATCGATGATGCTGGCAAGGAAACGATCCTAGCATGTAGTTGATGAGTTCTTAAGTGAACCTTACTTAATCGTCAGGATTTTAATTAAATTCCATAAGTTTTGTCATGTCATTAATCCACAACTTAAGTCTTAAATTTCGATGGAATGGTTCCGTTTGAGTTTCTCTTGTGTAAAACTGAAAACATCACCCAAGTAATGAATGTGAGCATCCTTACATGTGAAACGATCGATTTTTTATTTAATTATTTAATTTTTTTATTTTTTTTTGCGGTTTATCGAAGCAAAGAGTCAAATAATGACTCTAGTAGCTTGGCACGGAAAAAAAAAAAAAAAACTCCCATGTAAACTGTGGTGGAGGAGTTTTACAGGAGTTGGAGAATCATTGGATGATATAATCATTATAATATTACTTTCGTCCCAGAAAAATAGTACATATTGAAATTTAAAATTTGTACTAAAAACAGTACAAAACTCAAAATTCAATGTGGACTATTTTTTTGGGACGGAGGGAGTACATGTTAACCTAGTAAAAATTTTATCTTCAGAAATCGGGACTAGAAGTTTGAGTTTTTTTTCCCCCTTTGAATAATTACGAAGCAAAATATTAGAAATTTAATCCAAAAGGGGTGTTCCAAGCATATCCTACACATATTAAGATGTATACACGCTGAGGAGGATTTGTCAAAAACCTTAGGATATGAGTGATCGATTACTCTAATTGTAGTATTTTGGGTTTGATTTGTCTCCACAAGAACGTAATTTATATTAATTCCAGACGTATCAAAGTTTTAATACAGCCTTGGTTAGTTCAAGGCATATCAATGAATTTATCGTCGATCATATATTTACGATTTTCTTGTAAATTGTAATCCACCTCGAGTTAAATTTGGAACATTTTTGTTACTTGCAAACCTTAACAGACTCTAAAGTTCACCTTGTAGTGGATTACGACGCTTGCACATATATAATCGAATATCCATTGCCCTCCAAAGAGTTCCTTGTTGATTTGAGGTAAATGTGTACATTCTTTATTTCAAAATTATTATAATTATTTTTTTGGTATATTACATATCTGGTGTCCAAAATTATTATTCTGAAGATGAAAGAGTGTTTTTTTTTTTAAAAAAAAAAATCTTCATCAAAAATGTTTTTTAAACAATGAATGTAAAAGAAATTGTATTAAGAAGTAATCTATATGGAACTTGCGACGCATCTATTTAAAATGAATGAAAATATGTAAGGTGGATACGATTTGAAATTGATGGTGCTTCTTCTGAAAAATAATTAATATCACATTTCGTTTTGAGTTTTCTTATTAGTTTTTTTTTTTTTTTACAGCAGTTCTACCATTTATTTCTCATCCAATTAGTACTCTATTAAAATAGAAGTGATTCCCTCAAAATAAATGAAGGGATGATCAATTAATTACCCGTTGAGCATACTATTTATATTAATAATTGTAATGAAAAATTTCAGAGGACTACTTTAATTCATGGATTCGTAATACCAGATTACCAGCTGGCGGTACATGCTTCTACAATGATAAAAGATTAGACTATCATGTCATAAAATTACCATAAGTAGGCAAGAGGCAACCCGTAACCCGACCCACTGAAAGGTCCGTTGATACTACTTTATTAGAATAGTAAGTTTCCTAATTAATAAGACCGTGTTAGGCAGTTTCCAAAAAGAAAAAGAGTCCGTTTTAGGAAATTTACTAAAACCACCGACTTTGATCAAAGTCCATCAGGTTTTGGAAAGTACCAAATTTGATGATGCTCTTTCCTAAAGCTAATCGGTTTTTGTTCTATATATACACACAAAAAATCCCTCTTCCAGCCATCCATATTCAATTTGGATACCAAATAATTGAGATTTGCTCTCTCTCTGCTATACAATTAGCTTCTAGTTTCCTTTCCGATCGTTTTTTTCATCGTTGGAAAGAAGGTTTGTAGGTAATTGTTTACACCAATGGCGCCGCAACTAATTGCCAAAGCATCGGAAGCAAGAAAGACGATGCTAAAATTTAACTCGTCTCTAAAGGGTTTGAAGTTAAGACTGATTAGATTGAGAGTTTACTTCGATTACGTAATGTGTCTGAACAAACCTCTGTCGAGCTTGAGCAAGCACCCCAGTTCGGAATCCGAAGAATTTGTCCGGGTTTTCACACAAAGTCAGGAGTTGTTGAGGGAATGTTGCTGCGTTAAGTGGTGGAATATTCACAAAATGGCTGTCCTTTGCGACAAGATTGAGGAGCAGAACCGAGTTCTGGACTTGTTCTTTCCTCTGAAGACTATGGCAGATATGATGGTGAAAGAAGTCCGGCATCGCATTGCTTCTGGGCTAAATAGTTTGGGAAAAGACATGAAGGAATTGAGTGAAAAATTAGATATGCACTTCCTGATGTCGTCCAAGAAAACAGAGGAGTTTCGTCCACCAGTTCGATGTTATTTCCGTTGATTGATTTCTATACCCTTTTCTTTAAGAATTCCAATTGTAAAAGTTCATTATCTAAGAAGTTTTTTAGTGGAGCAAGTTGTGTTTAATTTTTTTATTTTTATTTTTTTTGGTTGCTTTAATATCATGATGCAAGAGATATTGCGGTTGATTTTGATTCCATCATTAAAAATTTTACTCCTTCCGTCCCAAAAAATAGTCCACATTGAGTTTTGAGTTTTGTTATATTTTTAATACAAATTTGAAAACCCATTCTTTTAGGACTGAGATAGTATTATGGTTTTTGTTCTGTCATCCTTTACTAGCGAAGTAGTGAGATAACTTACTAGCCAACCGCTCATCAAGTATGGATCAAATTGATCATCCATTAGTAATTTACAAAGTCGATGGAAGAAGACTTTCTAACGAATTTGATCATCCAATATGGATTACTAACAAGAAACTGGAGGATCAATCACAATTTACAAATCAATAGTTAGAACAAAACAACAGGATGTAACTAGAAGAATAGAATACACGTTACTTTCACAGAACTGGATGTACTAAAAATAGTTCGGCAGCTGTTTCAACAAATTCATTCCTACAATATACTTCAATACGCTCTCAGCACAATTACAAAAAATACCGTTTGAGGGTTGTTTCAATGTAAGAAGCAACATAGGAAGACTCCCCCTGCCAGGATGTACACATTTAACAAAATCATGTATTGAGAACTAATCATCGAAATCGTCCTTGGGACCGAGACCAGTCAATTTCTCGATGTCCCTCCTGCCAAGCCTATAGATAATCCGTCCTTTGGAAGTATCATAAGAACTAATCTCAATTTCGACTATATCCCCAGGAACTACTTTGATTTTATTTTGACGTATTCTTCCAGATACATAACCTAGCATCACATCATCATTGACTCGAACAAACTTATTATCGACCAACTGAACTAAACCAATCCGGAACATGCCATTGGGAAGTGATTCGGTAATCAAACCGTAATTTGACCATTTCCTTTCGTCATATGCGGATGGCTTCTTAGTGGCCTTTCCCAATTTGGCTTCAATATTTACGCGCATCCTATCGTTCTTCTTTGATCTGGCTTCACGTATCATGACCATCCTACCCTTCTGACTACAACAACCACCAGGAAATGACACCATATTTGAAGAAGGCAGGGAGAGTGGATTTATGCAAAGATTTCGTACTCCTATGGAGCACAGCATTGTAGATTGATGATAGGCAGTAGCCATGGCCATGGTTCAGAAAATGGGGCAATGAGATAGACTGAGCCAGGATAGCGGGAACTTGATCCTAACATGAGGACAGGACGAATGTCATTTATCCTTCACTACAACAGGTTCAAGGAAAAAAAATAGGCGAAGCTGATTTGCAATAATAATACATGTCCACGCAACAACTGCAAGTGATCTGCTCAATATCGAGTTCAGCCAAACATCAAAGAGGCAGTTTCCATACAACATTACAAAAAAGGTTCTCACCAACGAATACCAGGTTTCTTCAAAAAGTGACAACTATTGGTCAGAAAATGATTGCCCACAAACAAACTACTCCTAATGATCAGGTGATAATGGATTTCACTAGACTGGCATGTGTACTACCGTGACAATAACATGATATCAAGTCTCTCTACTCAAATTCAACCAAGAAATCTAAATCCTGGCGACCACTAACAGAACAACACAAATAATCTTCAAAAGTCATCATCAACAACAGGAATTACTAAAAGATCATACTCCACAACATCACGTAGGCAGTAAGATAACATAAATCATCCTCATGTCCTCTCAAAATAAATAATTTTAAAATATGCTCAAATAAATCACATCCTTTGCCTTGTTCTATCTTGAGCTGATATGAGTCATATTGCCCCCTAAAATCTCTTAGGCACATCTGCAAAGTCCAAACCACTAAATTTTCTCATTTTCTTATATTCTGAGACTAATTTCACCTTCTTTCTAATGTGCTAGTCTACTTAGTTTAATGTGCCAACAAATTGCTCTCAACATTTCCGTTTCAGCTTATGCTCATTTAACACCAATCCTATCTCAGCTAAAACAAATGGCTGACATTCCGAGCAGCTGTTTTACATCCCGACCCAACAAATTCTCAACTATAGCAAGCTTACAAAATCCCAAAGAACAGATAAAAAAAAACTTTCAATTTCGGCAAAAGAAGGTTAATCAAGGGAAGTGCTTTCATCTATGCGATTTTGTTGAGAAGCACTTAAATACCACCAGGACGGAACAAAACACTAACAAGCCCTAAATGCCTAGCAGAAAAACCAACCATTCCCTTCATCATGTTTAACACAATTATCAATTTTTGCTCTTTCTTCCATGCCTTTCCATTCCAACTGAAACACACAAAGAGGTATACTAAACAGGAATTGAGAAATTATACCCAGACCGGCCAACAAAGAGTGCAGATTCCTTCAAGAAATTGAAGATTTCCAGCAATAATTCAGACAACAATTCTAAGTTTATGATACTGACAGAAAGAAAGAGTTCTTTTACCTGAGTCGAAGAAGGTAATCCGCGAGGGAGGAGGGTGGAGGTAGTGGAGTGGAATTGGGGACAAATGAGATAATTCTTTTCTTGTGATTTGAAATGAGGAAGAAGCATATAAATTGGACTGGATAACAGGGTTAGGCAGTTGTAAACGAGCTGGAGTTTATACGGCCCAGAAGAAAGTCCACCAACTGATTGAAGTAGCCCAAGATTGTTGGACCAAAACAATGTAATTATCAAGCTAAAAGTGTTTAGTACTACTGTAGCATGGTACAGTAAAACTTCTTAAAATTAATCCTCTATTAATTAATATCTTCTATTAAATAATATTTTTTCTGATCCCAACTTCGGACCAGTACAAAAAATAAAAAAACTCGATTAATTTATAAGATGATAATTTTTCAAGAATATCCTACATAAACATTGGTCCCAACAATTTCATAAATTAAGAAATATTCAAAATAATAAATTAGATTTAAAGATTAATTAGATTTTAATTTAACTATTTTTATTTATAATTCTAATTATCATGTTTTTGTTCTATTAAAAAGTTACAATATTATGGCTTGGTCGGACTTTCTTTACATAAAAATAACAAATTTTGTATTTTCTTACTTATAAAATTGAAAAAACTCCATAAATTAGTAAAATATTAATTTATCGATAAATTAATAACTCTACAAATTAATAAAGTTTTTGAGACCCAAGCATATTTATTTCTAGAGGTTTTACTGTACTTCCTTGAGCTGTGAGGTCGTGGCTGAAAATTTGATTTAGCTCCATCCAATGTTGATAAAATTCCGACTCCATTCCCTCTACTTCTTTTGTCATCTCTTCCTCTATGTAATCTTGCGTTGTTTATTATTATTATTATTATTATATATATATATATAATGACTACAGTCCAGTCGACTAATGGTTTAGTCAAAATTTTAATGGTTAGATGAGAAGATTTAACTATATATGACCCTAGGATTAAATTCACTGGAGCAAAAAACAAAAAAACAGTCATAACACTAGATAACTTCTCAAGTGATGGACAACTTATCTAAACGTGAATAACGAATCAATGATATCTTCTTCTTCCTCCAATTTTAATTTTTTTTTTTAAAATCCGTAAAACAGTTTTCTATATGCTTGGCCCGGACAGATACTCGGCACCCCCTCTACTTTAATTTTGTATTAATAGATAAATTAATTCTTGATTTAGAAAAAATAAAATAGTTACACATTTATTTTTTTCCTTTTTTAGTTAAAAATAAAAATAAAAATAAAAAAATTATCTGCAAAAAGAGAAAAAATATTAAAAAGTACAATGATGTAGAAATCATACAAAAGAATGTGGAGTAATAAAGATGATAAGTTTATGGGCAAATTTAAATGCTATCTTAATTTGATTGATAAATGATAAGTGTTAGGAGTTAAAATTGTGTAGTTATTTTTATAAAGTAGCTTTTGTTTCTCCGGATAAGAAGTTTTTTTTTTTTTTTTAAAAAAAAGAATAACACGTGGCAGAATGATTAATGCAATATGGTGCATTTGGAGGCAAAATTTCTTAATAAGAAGTTACCACATATACATCCTGTATTCTGCTTTAATAGGGTAAAAGGGATTATTGGGTTTAGAAGGTAAAAATAATTCAAACAAACAATTCAATTTCTCTTATTTGAAAAGAGAAAATCCTTCGAAGTTGTTACTGAATTGTTGTTGTGATGGAGATGATGGTGCGGGTGCTGAGATCAAGGGAAAAGGGGGCAGCCATGAATCTGGAAAAAAAAATAATAATAATAATAATAAAGAAAAGAAACGAAGAATACAAATAGAGATTTTTGGAAGAGAGAGCCAGTTCACTTCAACTCGGATAATGATATTGTTTGAGTTTCTGGGAGACAATCAAGAATCAAAACCCCCCGCATTATCTTTCTTCCTTCTCTTTTAATCAAAATTCTGGTTTAGAATGCTTCTTTTTCTTTAAATATCAAATCTCAAATTTTGATAATAGTTACTCATCACCTGAATTGAACACTCTCTTTCAATTGAAAGTTTTAAGTAAAGGCTACGAGAATTAAAGGAGAGTCATTGATGTGAAATCAAGCACCCAACATTGTTAATTTGCAGATTTTATTTGGGATCAGATGTAACTCCAAAGCAAATCTGGCTGAATGCTTTACTTCTTTTCGGTAAAAACAAATAATGAGGCAAAGAATCCAGATGAACAACTATGGCAGAGACATGGTTGAAGATTTAAAATCTTTTAGTTCTTTTCAAGTTAATCTAAAATAATTTAATATATATTCCCAAACTGATGGCAACAATTTATTGTAAAAAGTAATCTTGGTAAAAAATAATAAAAAATTAAAAGAAGGTACAATATGGTAAATGACCAAATCGGCAGGTTAGGAAGTAATTTGGATTTAATATGATGTTTTTCACCTCATGAACACATTTGTAGTCTTCAATTTTGATTGGATATATTTTAATTGAATGGTTTAATAAAAAACTCTTAATTGGACCGTATAATTTTTCATATATATATCATATAATATATTTTGATAAGGAAATTATATGGTTCAGTCGTTAAATTTTGACTGAACCATCTAGTTAAAATAGAGCTAATCAAAAGTAGACACGTTCTAAATGTCTATAGGGTGAGAAGTATTTTAACAAATCCTTAACTCTAACTATTTTTGTTTTTTTCTTTTTTTTTTCTTGTTAAGCCTTAACCGCATAATAATCAGGTAAACTCTCAAGCAATTTTTTTTTTTTTTTAAACTTCGTTTCGTCTCTGACTGTCTGCAAATCTAAATCGCGAACATAGAAATCATAATTGCTAAAGCAATTAGCTCGAGAGCAAAAATCATCAAGGAAACAGATTAATTCACATGCATACGAATAGAAGAACCCTCTCTCCTTCTGGGATAAACTAAAAATTGAAAAGATCAATCTGCATTTGGACTGTTAGAAGCTCATTCTCATATTCTTATGAAGTTTCTTGAAGCCATTTTTTCTCCTAGTTAATCTCTTTGATTCTCATGGAACAGCATTACTCTAAACTCGTTCTGGGAAAAAATAAATGGTTCTGGCCGCCGACTTCATTTAAGTATTTTTCATCCACCACAAAGGCAAAAAAAATTCGGTTAAATTGCGCAAAAAAAAAGAAAAAGAAAAAACAGACAAATCAACCACATAAACATGGAAATCCCCGGATGAATTTGCAATGTTTGTTTTTTTTTTTCCCCTTAATTCACTTTTTCCGATCTACCATTACCGTAAGAATCCTCAGCATAAAAAAACTTAACCGTTTGCACTATAAAATCGAAAGCTTCATTAAGCTCAGAGTCTATTTATTCTAAATACCCAAAAAAATAGGTTTCCATGCCCAAGTATCAAATCCTCAAACTCCATCAAAAATCAAAAGTTCAAGTCCGAAAATCCTTTTCGCTGCAATTTGGGTGGATACATACAATACTTGAATTGAATTCAATAAAACTCGCAGTATGCCCAACAAGGAAATTCTGCAATTTGTGGACAAAGAAGACCAGAGTTGCTATACTCCGATATGTTACTCGTTGAAGAAACCTACTTTGATTTCATTTGCGGGAAGAAATGCAAACTTTTGGGTGATGATAAGCGGGTATAGTAGAATTTCTATAAATTAATAGTATTGAGACCACCAAAATTTATTAATTTAAAGAATTTGCATGAGAAAAAAGAGAACCGTCACTAAATTACTTATTTTACAGTTGTTTTTATATCCGAATCAATTAAGTACTAAAGCTATTCTGAACACTAAAATCCATGCATAGTTCATATCATCTCTAGGGACTAAAAAACAAGTATTAATAATTCATATTTTACTAAATACTTATAGTAATTATTATTATTTTTTATTGTTAGGGTATTTATTAATTTATGGTATTATTGGGACCTATAGATATATAGGAGATTTTCTAAAACATTATTATCTTATTATTTTATCGATTTTTTTCAATTGTTAAAAGTTATTAATTTATAGATTATTAATTGTTCGACTTTTAGTGTATATAAAGGACTTTGAAGGATAAAAAACATTGGAGGAGTAAGTGTTGAAGGAAATTATAACCGATTATATCGGTTGACTAATTCTAAAAGGATTATATTGTGTGCAAGACCATACAGAGTTTTATAGTGCATCTTATTTAATCATACGGCTATTGTGCTCCTTTATCATCCAACGGTTAATATTAATGATTGAATGATTCAGTTAACTGGATCATAGTCACTCTCGATTGATAAATAGACATAAGTTACTATTATCGACTATGGAAGCTCTCTAACATACACAGAAAAAGTAAAACTTTTATTGCAACGACAAGATTCAAACTGTGACCGCAACTTTACAACTGATATCCCAGATTTAACTACCGGCTATATATCTCAACCTAGAATCCGTTGTAACAAAATTTTAGCGAAGAATTTTGACTTTAATAACATCTAAATAGAAACTAGGTAAAGGTAGCAGCCAGGAGTGGAGAATCAAATTGCATTTTGAAAAATTGCTCCTCACTTCTCGTCTTTTTGCATCACAACCTCATTTTTTATTTTATTTTACCTTGTTCTGAATTTCTTTCATCGTACCACAACTAATTTTCGTACTTCCAAATAAGATAAACAATTGTAACAATATCAAGTATTTATCAATATGTTCTACTTTAGCAAATGCATAGAAGTAAATATCTTCCTATCCACCTCAGTAATCTATCTCTTCAATGTTAGAACAAAAAACACATTTAATATCAATTATTGCACCATTTATTCTGCTCAAGCGATCCATGGTCAACAATAAAATCTTCTCTACCAATGTAATTGACAGGTCTTGAATTGTCATATAATTTGTATAGTATTTTGGATTAGATTGTGCATTGTATTATTTTTTGATGTTTTTAAATCTTATGGGTGCTTAGAGATAAAAAGGAACAAAAGGTTTAAAAAACATGTATTTTTAGAGTATTTTGACAAAGAATTATGAATGAGCATTCTCATATAGGCACACGAATCTCACTCCAAAATGGATCATTGAAACAGAAATTCCAACAGATGCAT